ATGCGCTATTTAAGTTTTGCAGAATGGAGTAGCCAGTTCCATGAGAACTGGAACAAAAAAATCATTGAATATTCTAGCGGCCCTTAAGAACTGTACTACCTGATGCCAAACTGCTGCTGCTGTGGATTTTTACAAACGTGAAAATACAAAAATTTTAAAAAGATGAAGATGCAAAGATGCTGCTAAAATTATGCTGTTCTCATCCCCAGGTAACTATATGCCCTTTAATGAGGTAGCAAAGCATATGAAGTAGAAATTAGTCCAGAAATTAATAGTGTTTCTTAATGATCATTAGCTCAAGAGTACTTTGGGCTGGGATTATAAAAGGAGTCTAAGGCAGGTAGATGTTAAGTTTAATGTGATTTAGGGACTTGGGGGGGTTCAATTGCCTCTTTCTCTTCTCAGAAATCCCACCTGCGCTCTGTACACTCGCAGATAGGGATGGTCGGTCTGCCCGGTATCAGTAGATCCTCCTCTTTACGCAGGACGTACTGTCTCAGCCTGACCCTGGCTCAGACCTGCAACTACTGCCTTTGTCTCCCATTTATCAGAGAAACTAAGCTCTGTCCATCCGATAATTTATATACTACAGCTACTTTCCCATCAAAGTTACCCGGGACACGCTTGAGCTGTTTTGTGTCTCTTGCTGTGCCAAAAGCTTTAGGCAATGACTCAAAGTCATTGTCCTGGCTTGCAGGTATTATCCTCATACCATGCCCTCCGATTCCCCTGCTTGAACCCCGACATCCCATTGGCAGTGGAAGAGAAAACATCACGACCAGCACCGATGAACTGGGAAACTGCCCCTACATGGCATGGAAAGAGTTGCAGGAAGGGATCGGTATGGAAAAGGTTGTATGGCCTTTCCTCAGCTCCGTGCTGCGGCTTGTCATAAATGAGATAACGTGAGACGATGCCAAAAGGCAATGTGATACAAGATAGGGTGTGTTGCGTGGTATTACAGAAAGGGCATGTCGTAAACATTACAGAGAGGAATTAGCTGATGCCCTCATGTGAAGGTGGCTAATCTGTGGGCTGTTCGTTTATAAAGGTCCCGTTGGACTTTTTTTCAGACTCCCTCCACTCCACCTCCTCTGTTTATAGCTTCCTTTTGTCCTTTTCTGCCTTTTGCCCAACCAGTACACACAGTACTACTAACTCACACCAAAAATCTTTCCATTCCCTCTAGCAGACCAGTTGGGATGGTGTCAGGCGCTACGCCAGCTGCCCCTACCAGCCAGAAAATTCACCTCACATTCTCTTAAATAACTTCAAAGAGCTCCTTTCACCTCTGCTGCATTCATACCTCCCTAAATATACCCTCTGTCTCATAAGGTCTGGGATTATAATTCCTGACCTGGTTTTTACTCGTTACAGTAAGGTGTTACTGGTGTGATCATCTGAACAGTGATAAAAGAAGCAGGTACAACCTGGCTCATGCAAGAAGAGATGCCTTGCTGGTTTGCGAATCCTGTATTATTTTCCCATTTGTCTCATCATCTCTTGAATGATGTAGGCTCTCTCTTTTGACATATTTCAGATCTGAGTTTTGTTGTTTATGTAGGAGATGTTTCCAGTGTAGGTATTACTGAATCAGGTCCCCAAGGACCTGATAATGGTGACAGTTAAAGAAGCTTGAGTTTAGCACCCTGTATGGAGCTCATCCCTGGGAGAGGTTGGATTCAAGACCAGCACTTTCTCTATGCCACTGAGAATAAGAGGTATATAGAGTATATAACACCAGACACTGGAGAGGAGAGAAGGAAGGTGAGAGAACCGGACATTGTAAAGATACAAAATAGAGCGTACAGATGTGGAAAAAAGGAACAACTCCCTGTTTTCTTTCTTCAGGGAGTTAAGGATGAATTCAACAGTTAAATTCTGTTGAGCTACGCACATTGTAAGAGAGGTGTAATGCTTCTCCGGGAAAAGATCTTTGTGTTTACTATGGACCACCAGATTTGGCTGCATCAAATACATCAAAACAATCTAGGCAGGCCGACAAGATCGTAAAGAAAACATAATTTTCTTCTAAATACTGGATTTTTTTACATTTCTACAATAGTAAAATGCCTTGCGCTTTAAATGATCGCTTTTTTGGTTTTTACAAAATGGTATTTCTTTTGTCCAGAAACTATAAGCTACAATGTTATTATTTTCAGGATTACGTTTAAAATTTGATTATTATTTTTGCAGGATAGCTTATCAGGAACTAGTATCTTAGTAGTTTTGTAGGTTTTTGGAGCATCTGTAAAAATGATAGGTTGAAGGGATCCTTAACACAAGCCCAGCACTTAGCTATAGGATAAGTATGAAGATACTCAGTAGGCTTAATTGCATATCTTCATTGAGAATCAATAATGAAAGAATGGCGCTTGCTTTTGATTGCCTATGGTTAGAACCGATTGTAATTTTCTGTTAGTTTAAGACTACTTTCCCTTTTACCTGCTTGAACTCGTGGGATTATTAGCAGAATTTCTCTGCCTGCCTTTCTGGACCTCATTTTTCATTTCTGATGAATTTAAAATCAGCGGGCTGGGGAGGGAAGGCAGAGGTTGCAGCACGGGAGATGCAACAGAGGGAAACAGGGTGAAACTCACCCAAAATATTAAAAAAGACCCCAAATCCACTACAGCAAATCGAACCTCATCCTCTAAACCAGAATCCTACTGATCTTAACTATGTTCCAGCAGCGTGAGGCAGTTATGACAAAGATAAATACAGTCCTGCCTGCCAGACAATACCTACTTTCATTGCAAATCTCACAGCTGACCCTGGACCACCTGCCTGCCTCCGCGGGGGCGATTAACCCTTCGTGTCGGATGTGACTGACACACAGATACGACGGGACCTTGTCCCCAGCTTGTACAGCACCCTGAGCACGCCGAGGCTGCTCACCTCCGCAAACCCCAGCTCCAGCGCTGCTGTTCGTGCTCTCAGCCG